ATCAAAAAAGTTTGGATACGCAGACGACTGGACGCTTGCCGCAAGTCATAAAGAATTCGAGGTCACTGAACGCATTCTAACAAACGATTTAAATGCCCTAGGGAATTATTTCCGCAAATGGAGATTGCAACCCAATCCAACTAAGACAGAAGTGTCCTGCTTCCATTTATACAACAAGATGGCCAACTATCAACCTCAAATCAATTTTGGGGATAGACTCCTTAAATATAATAAACACCCAAAATACTTAGGTGTTACACTTGACAGAACGCTGAACTTTAAAGAGCATCTTACTAAGACTGCTGCAAAACTCCGAACTCGTAACAACATCCTGCAAAAGCTCTGCGGCACTACATGGGGCTCCTCAGCACCCACACTTAGATCGACAGCATTATAACTGGTATACCCCGTAGCGGAATACTGTGCACCAGTATGGATAAACAGTCCACATACTCACCGTGTTGATGTCCAACTCAACCAAGCCATGCGAACTATATCGGGCACAATCAAGGCCACGCCCACTTACTGGTTACCAGCTTTGAGTCATATAGCCCCACCACATATCCGCCGGGAACATGCCCTTGTCAGAGAATTTAGAAAAATCAATACTGATCCTGAGCTCCGCTCCCATGTCGGAACTTCCGCCAGAGACATAAATAGGCTCCGTTCAAGACACCCGCCTCTACAAACAGCAAAAAGGCTAGTAGATCAAAACTTTAATGCAACTGAACGGTGGAGAGAACAATGGGAGAATAACGCTGCACCAGCTAACTGGAACATGCCATGTATTACAAGCAAACCTGAGGGCTTCAACCAACCGAGACGAATTTGGACCACACTCAATAGAATAAGGACGAACTGTGGCAGATGTTCCGACTCACTTTTTAGATGGGGAAAAATACAATCACCAAATTGCGACTGCGGCGCCGAAAGGCAAACAGTAAAACACATGGTAGAGGAATGCCCGATTAGATCCTATAATGGCAACCCTTCAGATTTCCTGGCTGCTACAAAAGAGTCAATCGAATATATTTTATAATTTAGATGTTTGTTTGTAGAATAATATTTTTATATTTACTGTTGTTTGTAATTTATATAATTTATATTTATATATTTATATTTATATGAACCTGTGATGTAGCCATACGCTAAATATAAAATATGTTAACTTGATTGTATTGTGACATTCTAAATAAAACTTTTCGATCTCACCTTCGGTCTTATCAGTTGTGGGGGCATAGACTTGGATCATATTAATATTACAGTTCTGTGCTTGAACTTTTAGCATTATTATTCTTTCTGAGATTTGAATCACACCTAGCACTGATTTTCTAATAATGTACTCCATATCGATGATCAGTTTTGTCTCCTCCAGTGTAATAAATATTGTGGTTATTTATTGATATCTCTCCATTTCCTGACCATTGTACATCGCTAACCCCAAGTATATCTATATTTAGCCTCGCTTTCTTTTTAATTACATTATGTAGTTTTCCAGGCTGATACATACTTCTTACATTCCAGGTAGCTATTTTTATCTGGGAGGGTGAGTATTTTTTGTTTTTTTTTTATGCAAGGGTTTCGCATGTTGACAACCGAGAATTCCTTGCGTTCTGATGGTTGTCCTCCCCTGCCGGATTTTGGTCTCCGATTACCATAATCAATAATGTCTCTTGCGCAAATAGTGCTAGCCATTATAATTTATACTAGAGATGTCATGAGGGACCTTTAATTATTATTATTATTATTATTATTATATAACAAATAAGGGCAGAGGAGCGAGCTCCTATTATGCCCAAAAAGCAAAAATAAACAAAAATAAAATAGATCCTTATAAAACTAATACTAATTATAAAGTTAAGTAGTTAAACAATTAACGAAAATTGAATTGTGACACAATAAATAAATAAATAATGCTGTCCGAGAAAAAATATCCTATCCTATAAAAAAAAATAAAGTGCTGTCAAGTTTATTTTTAAAGATGTTAACACTAGCTGCCGATATGGTGTTTTGATCCAAATTGTTCCATATATTAAAGATTCTGTTTGGCAAGAAGTTCGCCCTGGACCTTGCAGTAGTTTGTTCCCTCTTTAATTTGTATTGATGGCCTCTTAATCTATCGTCTTCATTCAAAGTAAATATGTTGTTTAGGTTCCCAAAATTATGTTTTAAAATACGGAAGGACATAATTAGGTCACCTCGAAGACGTCGCTGCTCGAATGTCGTAAGATGAGCCATGAATAGTCTATCTTCATAATTAGGTCTTACACGGCCGTATGCCAGTCTTGTGGCTTTACGCTGAACGTTTTCAAGTAGGATTTTATCGCGACTAAGATCTGGATTCCACACTGGTCCGGCAAACTCAAGAATAGGTCTAACGTATATTGAGTAAAGTTTACTAACAGAGGTTAGAGATATGCGTGCAAAACACTTACGAATCAAAAACAGTTTCGAGTTAGCACGTTTACACACCGACACTATGTGATCAGACCAATTTAAGTCACTATTAATTATCACTCCGAGATCGTTGTGTGAGGTTACAGAGTTTAAAAGGATGTCCATTAATAAAGTACGGAAGTGATGGGTTATTTTTGCCGATATGTAAAACAACGCATTTTTCAATGTTAAGCGGAAGTAACCATTCTGAGGACCATTTGAATATTGCGTCAAGATCTTGTTGAAGAATATGTTGGTTAATAGTTGGATTCACATATAACTTAGTGTCATCAGCGTAAATGGAAACCTTACTGGATACAATGAGCGGAAGATCACTAGTGTAGACACAAAAAAGTAGCGGTCCAAGTACTGATCCTTGTGGAACTCCACTCTTGACTGGCTTATCTAATGAGTGGTCTTCCCCAACACGAACCCTGAAGTATCTGTCGGATAGAAAATCTTGTATCCAAATGTTTAGTTTTCCGCGGATACCATAGTGATCCAATTTAGCTAGTAATCGACGTTTTGGAACACGATCGAAAGCTTTGGAGAAGTCTAAGTAAACTACATCGACAGGATTCCGATTGTTTAAAGATAATGACCAATCATTTACACATTGAAGTAAGTTTGTGATCGTTGAACGACCTTTGATAAATCCATGCTGTTGGTGAGGGATGACATTTTCTTGAAGAAGGAACTCGGACATAGCTTCCGAAATAATCGATTCCATGACCTTGCTGAGAATAGGAACTAGGCTGATTGGACGATAATTATTGCAATCAAGTTTATTACCTTTCTTGAATACAGGAGTAACTGAAGCCAATTTCCAGGACGAGGGGAGGGAACCTTGATTAAAAGAAGCAGTCATTATGAGAGATATAGGGATGGCTACAGAATCTGCACATTGTTTTGAGGAAAAAAGAGGTGAGTCCGTCTAATCCAGGTGATGAATTATTTCGCAGTTTCCTTAAATGATATTTAATTTCATCCGGTATGAAAGATATATTGTCAAGAGTTTTAGACAAACAAGGGCTCATTATTTGAGGAATGGTATCGTTAGATTCATCTGTAAAAACTTGAGAAAAGAATAACGATAAACATTCCGAAGATTCGTTATTCGAAGAACATAAAGACCCATCAGCTTTTTGAAGCAATGGTATGGAGACTTTAGAAGATAAAGATGTACGAATGTACCGATAAACTTTTTTACTATTACCCACTTTCAATGATAGATTCCTCAAATTCTGTTCTTAACTTTAGCAAAGATTGTTTGACTCGGTTAGAAAAATTACGGTGAGCGAGAAAATCATCAGGGGAACCAGTGAGTTTATATCTTCGCCAAAGCTTTCGCTTATGTCGAATTAAATGAGTAGCTGAGAGGTTTAATCCAAGGTTTTAGTCGATTTCTATATACCTGCCGTTCGGTTGTATGATCAGAAATTGTTGTAATAGCAGTATGAAGAAAAGAGTCCCACATTGACGATGGATCAGAGTGATTAGGAAAAATAGATTGCCAGTTTATCTGGGATAAAACTGAATTTACATCAAAGAAATTTGTAGTGGCATACGTTACGAAATTATTTTTGCAAGGCGGTGTTAAACTAAATTGAATGTGAGCAGTAATAAGCGAGTGGTCAGAAAGACCTACAGGAGAGGACACTTCAAGTGTAGAAATTAATTCATCGTCATTTGTGAAAAATAAGTCTAAAATTGAAGGATTATTGTTGGCTCTAAACCTTGTAGGTTCAGTTATTAGTTGTAATAAATTTGAGTTCATGATAAAGTTTTTAAACAAATTTTGGGAATTAATAGTATCAGTTTTGGAAATAATGGGCCAGCTAATTTCTGGAAAATTGAAATCTCCAACAACAATAAGATTTTCAAGGGATGATAATTCCTCAAGTTTGTTAATAAGCATATTGTCGTGAGTAAGTACTGTATCGGGAGGTCGATATATGCAAACTATATTAAATATGAAAGAGTTTTTAGTAATAAGTAAGTGGATAATTTCTATACCGGGTACGTCTATTGTTTTATTACAATGCAGTGGCTTCTCGTTGCCTTCTGCATTCTGATGCCCGTTGACCACTTTCTTGGTTCTTCCGCCTTCGAGACCAATTTCTCAGTCTCAGGACAACAGTGTCTTTCCACTTACTAGCTCATCCGCCCTAAGCTTTTGTCAGTAAATGGTGGATTGCTTATCCCTATAGATAAACGATAGCCGCACACAAAAATATTTACTTTAAAATTATTATTCTAAGGAAACTGGCACGCGTTTTCTCGATCACATTCCAGTTTGTGAGGGGTCCGGATCTTATTAATTTCGAGAACCATATCTTACGATTCAGTGTTAAGATTCGGATCAGTAGTGAACGACTCATTACTATTTTTCTTGGTTTATGCACAAACTCTAAGTTTTAAGTTTTTATCTTCTATTAAATTCGGAGATATTTATATTTTTCTCTTAGACTGTTGATTTGAAGGTTCTGTTCTATTGTTTGTTAGACTGATATTATAATTCTATATTCCATTTACTTATATTAATGTTATAATTTGTTTTCCAGGAAAGTTACAGCAGATTTTATGAGACAGAACAAAGACGACTTTCTACCATTTATGTGCAATGAATTAGATGAATCTGAAATAGTTAGCGAGGAACAGTTTGAAAATTATTGTAAAGATGTTGCAACAACAAAGTTATGGGGAGGTCAGTTAGAACTGCGAGCTTTATCTAATATTCTTACCTGTCCTATTAAAGTTATTCAGGCCGCTGGTCCTCCCACACTACAGGGTGAACAATTTAAAGGTTCAGAACTGATTTTGACCTACCATAGACATTTATACCGCTTAGGAGAACATTATAACTCTACTATACCAATCACCGGGGACGAAGATGTATGAAAATCACTGCCAATAGCTCTAATTAGGAAATTTAATAAAAATATATGACAACTACATGTGAAACTGATTAAGAAGCGATAATATTTTAAGTACATTTTTTAGTGTAGTATTATATACTTATACATATATTATACAAGCTGAAATATGTATGCAAATATACATCTGAAAAAGTACTCAATAAAGATAATTGTTTATTACGTAAGTTTTATATTTGTTTTACTTTTATAAACTAAAAATAGATTCTATTCAACAAGGGGTAGAAAGGAGAATCCAAATCTGTTAAAATAACCAGTCCTGTCATAAATGTTATACACAGTGTAAATAAAATTAGTATCTACACAATAGGACAAATATGAGAACCCTTACCTGTAATTTAGAAATATCTCGAATACTAAGGGTTAAAAAACCTTTCCAAAGGTACAAAAAATATATTAAATGAGAGAGAAATAAAATTAGAATAAGAAATCCTAAAACTGAAATATTATTTACTATTTTTAGTTTTTAGAATGTCTTTGTGGGCTATTGTAAAAATCATTGTGATGCAGGAACTGTCATATAAACTACCAGGAACCAAAGAAACTTACTGGTTTTAACAAAAAGGATGTCTTTGGGCACTATAAACATATTTTTTTTTTATTTATTTTTGCTTTAACCACTTAGGGTTATTAGCATAAGAAAAATAAAAACAGAGATAAAGACATATACCCTTTTTCAAAGTAAAACACTTGCACGTCACGATTTATACAAAGTGACGTCACTTGTATTTAAAATTTCCAGAACATCAATCTTATGAGTTCAAATTTTCCTAACACAGCTAATAATACGAATCCCATACGGAACTGCTCGATCTTTCATAGGCGTCAAAATGGTGTAATAATCAGAAAAATGTAATCATCATTATATTGGAAATTTTAGAATTATATTGATTAAATAACCAAATACGTTTGTTATTTTTTTTTTATTGGTATAGACTAGGTGTCAATCAGCCAGTTACAACATGACTACTATCTTAACATAAAAATTTTATTACCGTAAGGTCCATAAAATATCAATAACGAAGAGCTGAATAATATGCTTTAAGAGCTAAAATTAAAATAGGATAAAAGTTAAATATATAGCATCTTTTCAACATCATCAGTGCGTTCAAAAAATGGTACACATAATATAATTCAAAATACTAACTTTTATTTGTATTATCTCCCTTTTATCTATATTTACATATAAACAAGATGATGAGGTTCTCAGAGTTCCACAGCAAACTCTTGAGCAGCTATCTACTCAATTCGACAGCTGCTTTGCTATGGATTTGTTATTATTAATAATATAAATTTTATGAAATAACTCTTTTAAGGTCTATATTCCTCAAAATAATAATTTTAATTAAATATATTAGACAATTGTACGCAACTGATACGGAAATACTTCAAATTTTATTGACAGTTCAGCGGGTGGCACAAGTGTATTAAGCGTTGCCGCTTTTTTAGAGTAGGAATTTTGTTAAGAGAAGTGGGCTTAACGAGTCCCCCTGTCTGACTCCGCTTTGTACTGGTATACACGGTGTTGGTTTTCCATTTATCTTTGCCTATATTCGATTATGGAAGTAGATGTTTTTATGGTTTGTATAATATTGATTGGTATGTTTCTTTTATACAGTAGGTGTAAGCCGTCTTAGACTTGGATGCGATCGAAAGCCTTTGTCAGATCTGTAAAACATAGAGATACTGGTTTATTGTACTCGATGGCTTTTTCTGTGATTTGTCTTAGTACAAATATGGCGTCTACACAGGATCTTCCGGACCTGAATCCTTGTTGTTTATCTGATAAAGTTGTTAGTTTATTAAATTTGTTGGTTAGGACTTTTAAGTGGTAAGCTTAAGTGGGGTGTTCAGTAGATTTATACCTCTATAATTTTTGGAGTCTTCTTTATCTCCTTTCTTGAACATTATTATCATTATTCTGTTTCTCTATGCGTCTGGTATCTTGCAGTGCAATATTAGTTTTTGTATAAGTTTTGTCATCTCTAGGTTTATACTTTCTCCTCCGTGTTTCAGAAGCTCGTTGGTTATTTCGTCTTGTCCTGGTGACTTTCTAGTTCTGATTTTATGGATATTTCTACTTCCTGAAAACTGATTTCTATTTCGTGTCTTAATTCAGGTACGTTATTGTGTTGATTATTATTTTCCTTTCTTTTAAACAGTTCCGTCAGATATCTTTCCCATTCGTTTGCTGGTATGTTATTGTATTCCTTCAATTCTGCCATTTCTTTCCGTTGGTTTCTTATGCATTTCCATATTTGTTTTTGTGTCGCTTTCCATTCTTTTTGTAAACTGTTCCCAGTGTTCAGTTTTTGTTTTTCTTATCAACTGCTTTGTTCATGTTTTTCTTATCAACTGCTTTGTTCACTGCCCGGATAAAACCCTCCTCTTTTATCCGGGCTTGGACATGAACGCGGCTTCTGAGCTACTCGATCTACCCAGTCATCGTGCTCATAACCCTCTGGCACTACACTTTAAATATTATTATTAGTTTGGTTTTAATTGTTTTCTATTTGTTTATATTACTAAAATTTTATTTTTAATAGGAGCTAAAGTTTTACTGTCTTCTGTTCTTTGTCAGGACCGTCGTTAATTGATAATAAAAATAACTTATGTACATTATAAATAATGTATTTTCAAACAAAATATAAATAAAAAAAATCATTCTTAATTTAAAAACACGCTGCTACTTGGCACCATCTACTGGAGCTTCTGGTTCTTCCTTATTCTTATTAGGATCGTCTGGTTTCATAGCGGGGAAGAGCAAAACCTCCTACAATAAAACATTAAAATTAATGAAATTCACAAAGGTTCACAAAAAGAACGGTAAACAAGTAGAAAGGCGCATAATGCCAAAACTAAAGCGGCAGTGTATGTATGTATGTACGTGTGTTGTAAATTATGCACGTCTATGTATTTTGAATTTCGGAGATTGAAATTCTGAGAAAGTTGAGTCCACTTTTTTATTTTACTAATGGAATATATTAATAGTTTAATTTTTGTTTATTCTCAATATTTAAAGAAATAACTTTTACCTTAATATTGTTGTTGTCTGTCAAAAACATTGTGACTCTGTCAATGCCCATACCCCAGCCAGCGGTAGGAGGTAGACCAAATTCCAAAGCCTTGCAAAAATCTTCATCTAACAAGGGTACTTCATCATCACCTTCTGCTTTAAGAGCTGCTTGCTGTTCAAACCTTTCTCTTTGCACAACAGGATCATTTAATTCGGTGTAAGCATTGCAAATTTCTTTTTTCATTACAAAAAGTTCGAATCTGAAAATATCAATAAAATAAAACAATTGATTGGTATAAGTATAAAAAAAACGGGTGTGGCAGTCCAGTGGGACTGCCAGTAAAAGTTATACTTCTATACACGCTTTCGCCGTTACAAATTTATATAGGAGTCAATCAGCACAATCATTACATATGTAATGCTATAGGTAAGAGAGAGCAGAGAGAGAAAAATAATTAGTTATATAGGTATATGGTGTATCGTTTGCTGTATACAAACATTTGACCTGTAATATCAGTATAGTAAATGAAGGATTGTATCAATATTTTAATGAAAATATTGATACAATATATATATATATATATATATATATTATATATATATATATATATATATATATATATATATATACATCCCACCATCATTTTGAAGTCTTTTCACGTTGCAGTAATTTAGCATCACCAAGAAATACTATCACATTCAAATTATAAGTCATGTATATTCGTTTAGTGTATCTTTTTAGGCTTGACACCGTTGTCAGTGTTTAAAATTTTTCGATTTTTTTATATATTTATTTTTTTACACTCAACAGACATTTTAACTCCCTATAGGTCAAATCATTGTGTCTTGCGTCAATACAGTATCACGAGATGTTGCCAAAATATATATATTTATTTGAAACATAGATAGATATATCGATCCGTTTTCGTTCACAGACCGATAGGTCTACAACCTTACCGACCGCCCCGACCGGTTTAGGGTTCTCGGATTTATTATTATTGTTTAGTTGCATATTTAATTTAGCAGGTAATTTTTCCCAGAGAATTGTGAAAAATTATGAATGAACGATCGAAACGAATTTTGCCGCTGGCAGCAACGGATAAGTAATATTTGTATTATTATGGTAAAATTGACAAATACGAGAAAAACGTTCGTCTCCAATAAAATATGTTGATGTACAGACGGTGCCAGTTAGTTTTTTTAAAATTAGTATTAATTTTTGATTAAATTTTGTTTGTTTATGTTGAATATAATTTTTTTTTGTTTTAAATTAAATTTAAAATATATTGTATATGCTACCAGTGCACTGTTTATGTTTATTTGTTTTCTATTAAAATAATAAATTACTATGTAAATGTATAATTTTTGATTTACTATAATAAAATTTGTGGAAATGTTTAAAATGTTTGTGTGCTTTAAAAGTTAAAAATACTTAAAGAAAAATAAAAAAATAATAATAAAAAACTTTTTACATTAGAATGAATAACTGATACTAATTTGCAGCACCTTCTTCTTCTTCTTCTTTTGGCATCATAACCCTGAATGGGTCTTTGCCTATCTGGCTATGTCCTTCCATTCAGATCTCTCTTGTGCCCTTCTTCTCCATTGTCTCATGTTCATTGTTTTCAGGTCGTCTTCCACGTCATCCAACCATCTCGTTCTGGGCCTTCCTTTTTTCGCTTTCCTATGGGCTTCCATTGTACCATTTTCTTTGTTGTTTTTGCATCGTTTTGTCTCTGCACATATCCCAGCCATGACAGTCTTTGACTTTTCACAAATCTTACAATGTCATAACCTTCATTTAACTCATTAACCTCGTCGTTTCTCCTGATTCTCCATGTGCCATCTTCCTCTTGTACCGGGCCATATACTTTCCTCAGTATTTTTCTCTCGAATGTCCTGAGTTGGGCTTCATCTTTTTTCGTCATTACCCAAGTTTCACATCCATAGGTTACTACGGGTCTAATCAGTGTTCTGTAGATAGTCATTTTGGTTATTTTGTCTAATAATTTCAATGTCATCAATCTTTTATTAGCATAGTATGTACGATTCCCGATGGAGATACGTGCATTAATTTCGCTACTTACGGAGTTCTTCTGATTGATTTCTGTGCCGAGATATGTAAAGGCATCCACT